TACGACAATTGTTTAACAAGATAATTAATTATGAATTTGTTTTTAAATCATGGACGAGAATTAATTATTTTTCTTGATTTTTTACACACGAGATTTTCTACGATTGATCTACTAATAATAGGAAGCATATCGATTTTTAATTAATTGATCAATATAAATTTCTCTGTGCAGATGTGATCATGCCGACGGACATCGTGGCGACCACGGCCTCGGTCCCCGTGACCGTGACCGTGCCCGAGGAGACAAGCAGGGCCCGGGATCTGGGCCTGGGCCCCTCGCCAAGGTCGGCACCCTCGTCTTCCTCGTCGTCCTCGTCCTCAGGATCTACGGCGCAATCTTCCTCTAGGAATTTCGATCCGGCCAGCACTCTCGCCGCTTATCACCACCATCGACATGGTAATCAATTTCTTTCACATTAAATCTATCCATTCTTATTTTCAAATTTTATATACTAATTACAAGAACATAATAAAATTAGTTTTAAATGAATCAACGATTTACATTTATATTGAGAAGTCATGTTAAATTATTTAATGAACAATTTTTTATAGGATTGGTGACAGGGTTGGGCCACCCGCATCACCGAGAATCGTCAGCCTTCGTCCCCGTGGTTCCTTCGAGACTCCATTTGGCGCCTTATCCCGGTGACATCCACCCGCACCTAAGCAGACCACCTCCTTCCTCCTCCACCACGTCGAATCCAGAGCACGAGAGTACGGAATCGTCCGTGACGAGAAAATCGTCCTCGAGCTACGACATAATGGCGATGATGGCTGATAAGAGGAAGGAGTTAGCAGCGAGGGCGCTTTTACTCCCTCCGCCACCCTTATTGGAACCACCCCCAGGTTACCCGGTGTTCGCTGGCCCGTTCCCAGCAGGATCCGCTCTATACCCACCCGGAGGACCTCTGGCCCATCAACACTTGGACAGGAGACTCCTCAGGGCACCGGGGAGGGCGTCCCGACCCAAGAAACAATTCATTTGTAAATTTTGCAATCGTCAGTTCACTAAGAGTTACAATCTATTGATTCACGAGAGAACGCACACCGACGAGAGGCCGTATTCATGTGATATCTGCGGCAAGGCTTTCAGGAGGCAGGACCACCTTCGGGATCACAGGTATAATAAAAACCAAATACGAACTAAGTGAAGTAATGTGAGGGACGTGTTTAAAAATGGATTTTACGTATCATTTAACTATATCGCAATGTGCACTCAGCATTTAATATTCTTTCATTTCATTTATAATAAAACAGATAATTATTTCTCAACAGTCAAACAATTTTTTCCGTATAATACGTAACGTGATCCGTTTGATTCCAGGTACATCCACAGCAAGGAGAAGCCGTTCAAATGCGGGGAGTGCGGTAAAGGGTTCTGTCAGAGCAGGACCCTGGCCGTGCACAAGATCCTGCATATGGAAGAGTCGCCGCACAAGTGTCCCGTGTGCGCGAGGTCGTTCAATCAGAGGAGCAACCTGAAGACGCACCTCCTGACGCACACGGATCACAAGCCATACGAGTGTACGTCATGCGGGAAGGTGTTCCGAAGGAACTGCGACTTGAGGAGGCACGCACTGACTCACGCGGTGGGTGACGTGCCCCCGGAAGCATTGGAAGAGGCTCTCAGGGACGACGATAGTCCAGAAGAGGATTGTCCAGAGCCTGGGCCGTCCTCTTCGTCTACGAACAATTCCTCGTTAACCAGCGCGACCAATAATAATTCTTATCAGGCTAGTTCTGGTTCCTCATGCCCGCCCTCGGGGTCATCCGTGGGTCAGAGGCCTCAGCTGCAAATAAGAAGAGACCTACTGCCGCCGGTGAAATCGTCTACGGTCACTAGTGGTCACACAGTGGGACAGAATCCACCCCCTGCGTTGCCACCGCCCCCACCTTTGATTTTGACCTCGTACCGAAGGAGAATAGGCTCTCCTGGTCCGTCGAGAGTGCTACTGGAGCTGCAGGAGAGAGAAAGGCAGAGGGAAAGGGAAAGAGAGATCGAAGAGAGGGAAAGAGAAAGGGAGGAGGAAAGGCCATCCAGAGCGCCCACCCCTCAGCCACCCCCTGCACCCAGACCACCGCCGGCCAGGCATGGATTCACTATAGCTGATATCATGAGACGGTAGAGGATACCAAATGAAACTCGATTGTGGAACACAATTCACACTCTGATCATGGATCTTGTTTGTTTCTTTTTTTTTTTAATGAGAAAATTACATAAATCAAATTTAAATAATAATCTCTAAACACATTTTAAAAATGTCAGCCACACATAGAGATACTAATTTTTTATTGTTATATGCAGATTTAAAAATGTGAAACCTACACGGGATTTGAAAAAGGCTCAATCAAATTGTTGCATAATTGTTGTTATTTTTAATAAAAATAAATTGATAATACCGAGGATTTGATTACACAAAAGTTCCATAAACGGTATTAAACCTTCGAAGAGTATTACGTATTAATTGTTATAAAAAATGTGTCTGTTCTCGTAAAAACGAAAAGAACTGAAAATGTTATCTTGACTCTGTAAGAAGAGAATATATGTACAGCGTTGTTTGTTTGAAAGAAATCGTTGTTTGGTCCACTGAAAGGAATTGTTGAATCCGTACAAAAAGCTTCCCTACGAGCGAAATAGGAGGAACACTAGCAATTACGATTGTAATTTCTATTTTTGCGATATATATTTTAAAAACAGGAATAAAATTCCGTGAGCGTGTATGTATGTGTATGTATAAAAAAATAAGTGAATCGCGCGTATATCTGAGTGAGGAGAAACCGAGAAATATTTTGTACTATTGTATTTTTTAACGATACCTATTTTGTATAGTGATACATGAACAATGTACAATGTACTATGTACAATCGCAGCGCCTGTCCATTATTAGAATTCTCCATTTCAGAAAATGTAATTCTATCTTGGACAGGTTTTAAGTGTCCTGTTACATTTTATACGTTACTAGAATTATAGTTTACGGTATTGCAATCTCCATTCATTTTTAGATTTATACGAGACGTTAAGAGAAGTTTGTAAATTATATATTAAGAAAAATGTGGAATAAAAATGATATTCAAATACCTCGCCTATTTACTTACATTGCTTCCTTTGCTAATTCGAAGTAAGTATTTAATGATAAATAATTCAGTATTTAGAAGTTCATTAAATACTAACATACATGAATAATAATTAATGAATAATTTATAAATCTAATATAATTCCTAACTAATCATTAATTCTATTTATATTATTATTAAATATTTAAAGTTATTTAATATTAATAGATATTTTAATAATAAAAAATGAACAGAAATAAGGATTCTAAAACGTCGTGATAAGGAAAGGTAACGAAGATATCTGTATAGTCTTGTGAAGGTTGAGAACCGACTGTCAATACTGTGCCGATTGTTAATGAAATAAACAATTTAGTGATCTTCAATCAGTAATCTTTCGCTTTACGATAAAATAGAAAGTACTCTAATTCAAAGAATTCCATAATGGAATTTTATTTAATTTCGAAATCATTTAAACCTCGAGACGATGATTGAACTATTCTGTTATATTTTATCTGATTAGTTAACTAGCTTTGAAATGATCTTAAAGTACTATCATCGTAATTCCGATATCAATAATTCCTAGAATCATTTAGATTACATTTATGCCACCTCAGGTACCGAGATAAAGTGATTGAATTGCATAGAAATTGAAATCATGAATCGCAAGTAAAATAAAATTCAGGCCTATTGATAAATTTTAATGACTATTGAATTAGTATCAATTTTTAATTACTCTTTTTTATGTCACTTAGAAAAATGATTTATAAAATGATTTCACTTGAACGATTCAATATTCCATAGCAAATGTATGCAGTTATTTCGGTCTGATCTATTTGAAAAGAGTTTCATGCGTTAACACAGTGTTGAACGTTTGTGAACGCGTTTTACGACGCCGTTTAGGTTTATTGTCAGCCGAGGAGTCACCTGAAAAATCGACAAACAGTCTATTCTCCCGTCGGCACGTCGTCGTCGTCGTTTCTCGCGATAAGTCTTGTATCGTCACCTCAGAAGGATACATACACGCGCACACCGGTCTCTCTCTTCCTCAGCGAGTTCCAGTGAAAATTTCGGCTCGGTTCAAAAGCCAAAGATCAAACATGGGCGTGTTTCACTACGGCAACACGCGGTTAAGCTGGCAAACCGCGGCACCAAAGCAGAAATCCCTTCTTCTTCCTTTTCTTTATACACCAGCGGCGCACGACGGAAACCTAAATGGCCAGCAATAACACTTAAACTCATATTCTATGTACGTATGTACAGTTTCCTTGTCTCCACGTATCTGATATCTGATTCCTTCAAACGAAATTTCTCCAGTGGCTTATTATCTTATCAATACAATTTATCCCACCGGTTCATATAATCGATTGGAATAAGAATTTAGAAATATAATTTCTTCAATCTTTTAACAACAAGCTTATGTTTAATTTTGTTTAAATATGAATTGTTCAATCATTTAACGTAAAGTTTTTCTAATATCATTTTATTCAAAGATATTTGGATCATTCTTTTTACTTGTCAATCTGTCGTCTTTGATTCACATTTACATATTCTTGATTAGATTCGGAATGAAAGACAGTGCGGTGTTTCACTGTCAATCGTTATCTCAGCGTCGGTTACACAAGTTTAAGATAAAACAGACAGGATTAAGAATTGCTGATAATAATCAAAATAGAACATCGCATCGTTTATTGACTCCCTTCGCTGTACAAATTCCGTCACAATAATGTCTTCTTATCTCCTTACACTGTACAGCAATTTTCACTTAAAGCGTCATTAATGACAGTAGATAAATCCACAACGTGTGTCGTTAATTTAATAGCAGATAAATGTGAAATTACAGTGAAGTAGTGAAACTTAAGAAATTATGATTAAGAATTGTTAATAAAATGATACGTGAACGAAGTGACTCTTTTCGGTGATGTTCGAAGTATGCAAATCTTCTAAAGCCGGGTAAAGGTGGAGATAAGAGAATAACCCAGGTGTGCCTTCTTATTTGCTGATCGGGGGAACCTCGCTTTTGTCAGAAACACACGAGATACCGTCGTCGAACCGACACGAACTGACGACGCTATCTCCACGTTTCATTCCTGCCGTCCAGTCGAAGCAAACGATTTTTTGCACGGTCGCAAATAATTTTCCTGATTAGAAACCTGTCAGTGGAATGGACTGATAAAAATAAGATAAGTGCAGATCTAATGAACAGATGGGCTTCAGTGGTAAAGAGAAGATTTAGTGGCTAGAATTATATGTAGTGATCTGTTCAAAATCGATGTAAAATTATTTTTTATGGTGTTGTATCGTGAATATGACGATACCATGGAATATAGAAAAAAAGTGTAATAGAAGAAAGTATTTATAAATATTGTGCAGTTTAAATGCATTTTCATTTAGAATCCTTCTAAGCACGAATTCCGAGTTTTATCAGAATTGAAAAAGAATTTCTTGAATGAACCACAGCGTTATCTGTCGTTATCTAGATCCTTTTTTCTTTGGTTGCTGAATCCGTTAAGAAACAGCGCGACAGTGGTATATCCGATAGATCACAGAGAGACGCCGCGGTGCGTTGCGGCGGTGTGTTTGTCGCAGGAAACGGAAACTGACGGAAACAAAAGGCCAGGGCAAACACTCGGGCCAGTGCGTATTCCTGGGGAATGTTACCAGGGCAAATAGCGCGCGTCCTCGGGACAAATATTGTCACTAAACGCGAAGAGAGAGAGAGAAAAAAAGAAAGAAATGGTGTATGTGCTTTATGTATACGTTCGGGACCGATAGATTAGGCGCTGGCCTTCCCTCCCCGCGCGCCCGGGCTGTCACCTTTCTTGGCAGGCTCGTGGTTTCGAGATAACGAGGCGAGACGATCGTGACAGGTACGCCGCTTCTTAGCCTCGAATTAGCAGGTAGAGCCTCGGGGAAAATGTTTTTCGTCACTCTCGACCGTCTACAGTGGCCCACGAAAGTATTCGACTGTTCATTTCATTTTTATATACATTTTATTAAACTGTAGAAAATATGACTAAATGTAAGTAAAATATGCACACAGAAAATAATAAATTGACTGTATAGTGCGATGTTTAAATGATTAAAAAATATGTACATAAGATTTAGGAACAGCTACTGATATGAAAATAGGGAATTGTTATCTTTTACATATTCATAAAATAAGTTTTGCACTTTGAATGCAGCTACTACAGCTTTACGTAACTATTATAATTATAAAAATATATTTACATATATAAATTTATAATTGTTATACAAGAACACGTTGGTATAGAATGTTCAAAAGAATTATTGTACTAATTATATTCCCAGTATGATGGCTACCTGTTGCGCCCGTCTGCCAGTCAGTAGTATAGGACCACTGGTCAGACACAGTAGTAGTACATTGAATTCGTGGGCCAACGCAAAGATGCTTCAAATTTAAAGGCTAAACAGAATGTTTTATAATGTATCGTATATTATAATACATAGTAAGTGTTTTATATAAATTTTATATTGCAATATAAGAATAAATAGCTGTGGCAAGATATGAAGGAAGATTTTATTAAATCCAATCTCACTGGCATAATTAAAATTGAAACTGTAAATGACTAAACCATTAAATATTTCATCCCATTTTAATTGACAATCTATACTATAAAATAATGTGCAAAGAATTTAGATATACATAGGCAACAGAAATTTGTATGTATATTCTCCATACACGCGGACATCCTCTATACCGTTTCGTTGTAATTTGTCGTATAGTTTAGCAGCGATAAAATATACGAAAATATCCGCGGTGCCGAGCGGTCGCGTCTCGTCGTTAACTTCATCAGGCCCCCACCGCCCGGTACCGTGAAACGAGAAACAAGAAAAATCCGCGAGCGAACCCGGTGGCTAAAATCGGATTCCAACGGCGTGCCGGTACGTCGGCAATTCTCTTTGTTGCCGATCGCTCACTGGTCTTCCTTTAACCCTCCCCACCCTCCGGGGCCCAGGAACTGAGCCTGACCCACCTTGGAATTTTTCCACCCGCGCTCCCTCCACCCTCGGCGTCGGTAAGTGCCAACTACAATAAGGAGGATCCTTGGAATCGTCCAATGAAGCGATACGTGGGCCCACAGAGGCGGGACCCATCGAGTGGAGGAAGGTGCTGTCCCGCTGGTGGGGTCCTACCTCTGGTGGGGGGATTGACATCGACTACTGTGCATTTCCCACGTGCCATGGGAACCCCCGCGGCATAATATCGCGAGGGGGAGCCTTCCTCCCACGCGCTCGCACGGGAGACCCGTACGAAACGTGTAACGCTCTAGGTGCAACGTTCTAGGTCTATAACTACCTTCTTTCTTACTCTTTCTTCAAAATTGTAACTGTAATTAGAAGAATTATAATGTCCCAAATGAAAACTTGAATTGCTGTACAAATGTTCATGTATTACTGTATTAATTCATTCTGCATCACTCGATTGTATTATATTTAAATTAAATAATGCACGATTGAGAGAACACACGAATTAATAGTAATGAAGAACAAAGATTTAAGAATGCAAATTGTATTGCAATTAAAGAATGGTAATATTTTAAAAAATGATTGACACTAATTACTTTGTACCATTTTATAAATAAATAAATTCGTCAATGGAGAATTGAGTGACAGGGAGAGAGAAAGATTGTTTCTCACACTGATGATGATCAGCCAGCTTTCTCCACGCGTGGGCGAGAAGATTGACACGTAAGTGCGTACCACACTGGTCAGGTATCATGGCGACAGGTCGGGTTCCGTGTTCAAGTTTTATGGAATAACTGAGTACATCAATTGGGTTCTGTAGGGGGATTATCGCGTTTCACGAGGAACTTACGTAGGGTATCTCAATTTCGAAGATAGGGAAGAATTTCGTAGTGAAGTTAACTGCGCCAAGTTATGATGCTTCGGATAAAAAAATTCTCATCAAAATCAATTACAGTACTGGTAGTAACTATGAATTTCTTGTTTTAATAGAAACTATGCTCTTAAACAATCATATTATATTATAGTGAACTCAGTTTGTGTCAAGTATCAGTCGAGGAACTACAAATCCTGAGCCTTAAATAAAATTGGCAGAATTGGGAAGTATAGAAGATTACAATTTTATTTTGACTATTCTGACAAAGTAATCATAGTTAAAAATGTTTAATAAAATCATATTTTAGAGTTAGGCAATTTCATTTTAATTCAAGTAGAACTACAACGTATTAAGTCAAGCTTGCATCTTTTAATGTTCTTAGCATCGTGAAATTATCGAGTTAAAATAATAAAGCTTCAGTTATTTTCTATTTGGACTAAATCCAAAAATAGATTTGAATATTTCAACTTTTAAACCAAGACTCCCTTAAATACTGATGTTCGACTGCTGAGATTCAGCTTGGGACCCGAGCATCCAAATTGAATCTTCTCTCGAAATCGAAATCCAGAAAACCATAAAGAGAGACATTTACTATCGCTACCTCTTTCCTACCCTCGGCTACCGGGTTCGCGAGGGGGTTAGAAGCGGGTAAAAACAGAGCAGAAAAAGAGAAACTTCTTTTCTCGTCGGACAACACAGTGGGAAGAATCGTTCGTCGACGCGTGGGCGAAAGGGGGATGCTACGGACCCACGGGGCGGTCCCACGGTTCCCTACCACTTGCGACCTGTGGCAAACAGGGGTAGGGAGAATCGGGGGTGGGAGTACTCTCTGTCTCCAGGAGCTTCAGGAAGCTGCTTCGTCGAAGGATTTGTGAATAACCGTTCGACAAAGACAGCAAGTTTCATCCTCCTTTTCCATCATCCCCTTATCAACCCCTCTTCCTTTTCCCTCGTCAAATTCCTAAACACTGGAAGGTTTTATACAAAATAAAACAGGCTACGTCAATTTGGAAAATGGGATTTAGACAGGATTTTATTTTAACACATAAAATTAAAAATATGCAGCAAATATTTTAATACATATATTATTTTCAGCATATCAGACAGGAAATAAGATTAGAATTATCAGAAAGATATGATGTTTCGTTATAAATATGATAAATGAAAATTCAGTCGAAAAGCTATTTTTCATTCTCGTAACATTATAATTTTCTACATGGACTTTTTATAACATTTCTACGTTGATTTTGCAAAATAATCGAATCGAATCGAATGAAGCTGTGTCATGATATTTGAACAAAGACGAGTGAAATGTATTGGATTTTGTAGTATTTTATGGAAGCTCTACCGGTTTTATAGTTACGGCACTCGCAATGAGCTAATAAAAAGAAGATGCTCTCCACCACCAACAGCACTGCCACCACCACCGTCGACGGTAGGTAGTCGAGAGAACCGAGCGAGAAGGACGGAAGAAGAGGAACCGTTTTGGTCAAAGGGAAACCGGTAGGGAGGTGTCCTCTCGTGGGTCCTCCAACCAGAGGAAGACGAGGACGAGGAGTACGCGACGGCGATGATCGAGGTAAGGGGACAAGCTTACCTTCGCCCGGTTGCCACAGCTCTCGCTAACATCCTACCTACCGTCTTCTTGCCTACCAGCCAGACCGCGGACTGCCTACCTATTACCCCGTTGCGCTACCAACGAAGGAAGGAACAACCGACTCGACGCGACGCGACGCGAAGCGACGAGCCCGAACGAATATCCCCGGTGTCGGGCTTCAGTCGACGCCGCGCAACCAAACGGTCCAGACCTGTCAGCATCCCGACCAAACCGACACAGGATCCCATAGATCTTGCACCTCTGAAAATCATTCAGCCACCTATCAAGGAGCAACCGCTTTTTTCGATATTTTCCTCCTTTGGATTTCGTCGTCATCGTCTCTGATTAAGAAGATCCGGGATCTACCCGTTCAGAATCGAGGAAGAGTTACAGAAGATCGGGATTCGTCCTCTGAACAGTCGAGATTCACATTTTACGAGGGATCCTCTGGTTTTGAGTTCGGCCCGAAGAGTTTCAGTTACGAACTGCAAGAAGAAGACCGACGAGGATCAAGACTGCGAAATCTAGAGGCTTGCACCGGTAAGTGATTTTCATTTTTACTCTCGATTCATTTCTTCGTATAAATGATCGACAATTTTTAAGAGAGAATTGCACATCATGAGAACAGTTCTTATTCCTTGGATATTAGCCAGTTTCATTATTTCTCTTATTTTCAATATTGAAATTAAATTCATCGATCTAAATCAATATTCGTGTTTTATTGTTTAATTTCAAATAATCCTAATACATACATTATGCTAGGTACATGAATTCTGAAAGAAATTAACATCACTGAAAGAGGGAACATTCATATTATTGCAATTTTTAAAACTGCAACTATTGTATACAATTTCTCATTCTCAATCTCACTTGCAAAATAAAACTAAACCGTAAGAAACAGAATTTATTAAAAGTGCAACATACATTTCAAATTCTCTATCTTACTTACCAATTGACTACAGAATTTATATAATTTCGATATGGAAAGTGCATAAAGTGAAGGCAAACAATCCAAGGATTACAAGAAATTCTTATTATTTCATGTCTGGTGTTTAACAGACTGCAGATTTTATTAATTTCAAAAAACACAATGTGTAAAAGTGCATAAAGCATCAACAAGAGATTGTATACCGAATGCTCAAATATCATACTATTTCATCATTGTTATTATCAGACCACAACAGACCACAAATTCTATTCATTTATAAATACAATTTAAAATATAGAAAAATCATGAAATAAATGAAATCATGAAATATAAAAGTGCATAAAGTATCCACGTAAAATTCATCGGATATCTATATGATCGGAGGATTAATATGTACAAAAATATACGTATGTACATATGTAAGAAAATTGGCAGTGTGCTTATCAACGAACGGGAGTGATAACGCGATTGGTAGATGAGTATGGGCGCGTTGGCCAGATAAGTAGTGATTCACGTTACGTTGGCTTGGTGACTGGCCCAAAAAATCGTGCAGGGCGGTGCACGCGTGGTACACGGTAGCACCACGTTCGATTTTCATTGGCTACCACGCTACGCTTTTATTCGTCGACGCGCTACCAGAGATTCCGGTCTCGACGGCTCGATTGGCCGCCCAGCTATCTTATTTAATTAACCGGTTATCTGAATTAAACGTTGGCTAGCCTCGTCCGACGATTACGCTCCGTTTAACTATCTCCATTCAGATAGGAAGACGTGACTTTTCATTAAGTGTTATTTCGTTGATATACTCCGTATTCGAGGTTTCTATAATTTAGAATAACAGTGGTTTCCAACATATATTTCATTTAATCGTTTGTGTTTAGATAAGAAAACGCGACTTTTTTATAACAATTCCTTGGAAATAAAAATGATCTGAAGAGAAACAGAATAATGTTAGATTTAATCGTCTCCGTTCAGACAAGATACGATCGGATGAGGAGACACGATTTTTCTAAACATATAAAATCGATGCTTTTACGTCGATTCATGAATTTAATTCTTAATACATACTTCATTATGTAGAGTGACTAGAAAATTTGATATACAGTTGTTCAGTATCACATTTTCACATGTGAACTTTTTATAAGAATATCGAAATATAAATGCACGTTTAGAGAAGTCATTCATCATTTCCTTTAATAAGGCAGCATCCATTTGAAATATTAATGAATCATTTAAATTATTTTCATATTGAATTAAAGAGAACATTAATCTCCGAGATTCGTAAATGGTTTATGTCACATTGAATATAGTTGACGAGATGGATAAAAATACAAGTGCGGAGTCCTGTGGCTCGTAGGATGAAACGAAGTAGAATAAGCCTTGTTGGGCAGACGAAAAAAGGGGGAAGTAGTCGTCCAATCGACGGGGTTAGCCAACCAGAAGCGCTGCGATGAAACGGCGTGCGTGCACCCGTTCTCGTATTTCTATACTTGCATGAAGGGTACACAAGAAGGGATAAGAGCTGAGGCCTTTCATCCGGTAGCCAACCAAAGTAGAGCCGCGGCTACCGTGCACCGCCCTACCCGCTGACTACCGGTTTTCGTTTCGGACACACTCTCTCTCTCGCTCTCTCTCTTTCCTTCTTTCCTCTCTCTTTCTCTTTCTTATCGGCTTCACGTGGAAGGGTCTCGGGAAGGGAATTCAATGTTACGATTCTCCAATCGTCGTCCAATCAGAGAGTAAGCATGGACGGCGATGGATACCCTTCAACCCTTCAATAATGAAACGTCGAACGAGAACACGAAAAAAATAAATATTGTTACTTGTCCTTAAAATATTTAATGCAGATTTGAAACATTCTCTATCTGATCTTATTACAGAATGTAATAACTTTAATCTGCATACTTCTTCAATTCTATATTCAAGGAAAATCAATTTTGGTTTGCTCAAATACGAGAAATCATTTATTCAACGAATTTTCTGAGATACAGAATTCATACCAAACATCTTCCAATGAAACAGACAAATTCTTAATCGTTTTATATGATTTCCATTATTTACTTCTGTGTACATAATATTACATATTTCTTATACGATAATATACAACGTATTTCCTATACGTAATATATTACATACTTTCTATAAATAATATACTACATATTTCCTATGTACACATAGTACATATTCCCTGTACATGATGGACTATATCTGATTGTGAGAATCATGCGAATCACGATACCAGACGTTCCGAGCAATAACTCAGAGGGTGACAAGGTGGCACAGAAGGTGGGGCCCTTTTGTTTTCGTACGTGCCCGTGTTTCACGAGTTACACGCGTGACCGTGTCGCTTCTTTCCCCTTAGAATGGACGAGCGTGTCCGAAGTTTAAACTGAACGGATTAAGAAAACCCAGGTTACCGTAAAGCTCTTCAACTCTTTTCGTATTCCGAGCAGTACGTCTTTAAACGACTCCATTATACGCTGACATCGTGATTAGGGAAAGAACTTGAAACAAATCAGTAGAGTAGCTGTATAAGAAATCAGCCCTACTTTCTACGACATTCATTTCATACATTATTTTCACGAATTTTTAGTCAGACAGATTTAATAGTATTTCTTCATGAAAATTACATTATTAATAGTCAATTGACATAATCAAACAGTTAATAGAGAAATACTGATATCGCACGTTGCACGAGCATTGTCGAATTTACTATTTTAGACCTTTTCAGTAGTATAACCATATAAGAAGTCAGCCCTTAAGGTATCTACCGCTGAATTCATTACAGAATCTTTTCTTCGCATTGTATTCATGTTTCAATGAAAAGAAATCAGTGTTTCATGCTAAAATTATCCATCTTTACGATGTGTAATAATTTCTAATAAAATTAGTAGTACGTGTCAATGACAAACCGTGACGAAAGTACGAACGTTCTAAATCATGAGTCACTGGAGGAATGAAGAAATCGAGAGTATCGAACGATGATACCTATCCCGCGATGCGTTCTATGTCAGTTTTCAAGGTGAGCCAAGATCCTTCGATAATGAATTCAACTTTTATCCATATGGCAATGCGTGGTACATAAATATATGCTCACGTACACGCAGGTAGTACGGCGATCGTAACTGCGCGGCTTCCACGTACGTACATCGAATTATCATATCATTATCATATCATTAGGCTTTGATCTCTTGATCCGCGGCAAACGAATCTTGGCAGCTCGATTCGAATTATCTAACACATGATACAACAACGTCGTACAGTAAAGTACCTACGTGTATCCAAATAGAATAAACTCGATCGACCAATGACAATTATCGACACTGGCAACGAGTGGATGGACGTTGGACAGAATCCTCTTGTTTCAAACGTGAAACGAGAGGGGGTGAGGAGGAGGGAAAAGCGTGCGTAACACGGTTGGGTCCCGATTAGGGGCCTCACCGCCGTTAGGCAAGAAGAGGGATACGCCCAGACGCGCTTATTACTCATTCGGACACGCCACTTTATTCGAGCTCTCCCTCTTCTACACTTACACGCACATAATACAGTCGATCACAAAAATCTACGATCCACTACGACTAATATCTCCTTAACAATATTCCAATTTATCATTCATTCACTTGTCTGATTAGAATAAATCGATCATTATTTGATGAAATAAATGATCGACAGTGTTTTATCACTCAATTAATTTAATACAAAAACTGATCGCTTATTTTAAAAATTCAATTAATTTCTCGATTTACTTAGTGCCTTTTTTTTGTAAATACCATAATCAAAAACTCTGTACGGTTTTTTCTATACTTTTTAACTGATACTATTTTTGTGATCTGAGATAGAGGGTTAATTGTATGCATTGTTCGTCGACTTTTGCCAGCGACTGTATGCGTTCTCGCGTGCGTTACGTTGGCAAACGGTAGCACCGGACGTGGCTGCCGCACAATGGCCGCGATCGAGCCCCCGGCGGCCTTTTTTATTACCGCCTCCTTCCTCTTTTTTCGCTCCCAAACCGTTTTAAGTAGTACTGCACTCCCAGCGGGCATGCAAATCATATTACAGACTCGAAACATTTAATTTAAGCTCCACAAATCACTTATGTACAAGAGAAGACAGATCATGGAATGATTGAATAACTTAAAACATTGGGAAGTTCGATTTATGGTGTGAAATTCATGATCAAGTGGTGTCAATCAATTATTAGTCAGACTATGCATTGTAGAGTCGTCGAAGTCTCGTAAATGATCTTTGTACGAGAAGAATTAAAAGTGGAGACCAATATGGATTTTAAACAGGATTAAGAACATTGCAAAAAATAGTACAAAGTAGAATTTATTGATAAATTATGATGATAGAAGTGGTAATAAATGTGAGGTCAAAGTAGTACAAATGCTCTATAAATCAGACCAGGGCTGTGAACGTATTTAAAGGACCCATGAATTTCTTTATGGGTCTCTAGCTAGAAATTGATTTCACTTGAATATTTGTGAAAATTTCAAATATGCAGTGAAACTGAGTCAGGCCAATCATTCAATTCTAGAATTGCCCAAGAAATTGATCAAAGGATTTCTTAAGTACAATGAATGTGATTTAAGAAGTAGTACAAATGCAAAATAAGTCAGGCACGACGTTTATTCTAGAGATCATTTGAATTACATAATCTCCACAATTAACCATAACGTACTATAAAATGAATTGTCGAATTCTACGTTCAGAACAAGATTTTGGACGAGAGACAATGGAGAGACGTAGTTGCTTCGACTGTTTTCAGAATCTGTATCACAAAATCGATGCTAACGATCGTTTTTCTTTTTGTCGCAGACAAACAAGAGGCAGAAGAGGCAAAAAACGACGGAAACTGTGAAATAGCCGAAGGTATAGAAGCTATATAGGTGGTGATCTCACTGACTAAGCAAGAGCCAACGAGTTTGCGCGGGAGGAGAAAACACAAATCTCGAGTCAAAGAGAGGAGGAATCTGAGAAGCGAGAGAGCAAGAGAGAAAGAGAAAGAGAAAGAGAGAGAGAGAGAGTCTACGAGACGAGTCGTATAGTAGGAGGAGGCATTAAAGAGAGACGAAGCAAGCCTTTGCTGAAAACGAGACAGAGAGAAAGAGAGAGGGATACAGAGAGAGAGAGAGAAAGCAAGAGATAAAGCTCGACCGGTAGTGGGAGGCCCGGATTGAGAAAAAGGACAAAAGGCTGAGAGAGAGAAGAAGGGGACAGGTAGATAGAGAGCGAGAGAGAGCGAGAGAGGCAAGTGGGAATTTATAAGGATGTTCGCGATAATGCCGATGGAGACAGAGGGGCACGGCAGGGAGTTCGGCCGACGGCAGAAGATGCGAGCCAAGTGCGCGGTCGAGTTCGTATGCAAGTACTGCCAGCGACGATTCACCAAACCGTACAACCTTATGATACACGAGCGCAGCCACAAGGACGACGTGACCTTCACCTGCGAGGTCTGCGGCAAGTCGTTCAAGCGGCAGGACAACCTCAAGCAGCACAGGTAACGACACCTCCTCGCAATTATTTTCATTGGCCCTTGTACGAGAATTACATGGAATCTTGCTGACACAAAGTCCCACCGGCGCCGTCTGCGTCGCACGGTTCAGATTCGTCCGCTTGTTCTCGGTCCAACCTCGATTTTATTGACTGAGTGTATTCATAATTGCAGCTACAGACCGAGTTTCTTGTATTCTTGTCATAAATTCACTTTCTCATCTTCAATGATTCATAATATAATTAATTCTTGGAATAATCGATGAATAAAATGAACGTTTCTATTCATAAAGTCACAGAATAATTCAAACACCTGATAGCTGATAAATTTTCGTTTTCTCATTAATCGTGTGACAGATAATGTGTACAGTGATGACTATTAAATATTCACAATGTAAACTCGAATTTAAATGATTAAATCGATAGAATTTTTCGTACAGGGGTTAATTTAATCAATTTTAAAACAGTTAGTCCTTTAGGACATTGTCTATCTATTATATTTTTTCTAAAAGTCTTTCAGTCGTGCTCGCGTCGCTCGTTCGCCGACTAGCATTTTTGTGTCATACCGAAAAATGTCAAACAATCATAAACAGTCAGTCCAACGGTAAAAATTATTAATGCATGCAAAACGTGAATATAAAACATGTGTTTAGAGTATAATAATAAAGTTCATTAAAAGTTCGCATGAATTTTATATTGGAGCTTACTGAATTAATACATTCTTACGTTTTACCAAACAGCGATTGATTTTGCGAAGTTCTCAAATAAATTCTGTTCCCATTCTGTAAAATATGAGGAGATTACAGTGTCTCGAGTGAAATACTGATTTCTGAATTGAAGAGAGTAGACATCGTTTCGCGTTCCGACGGCGGTCGAACGAGCGATCGAACGAGCGAGCGACAGTGCATATAATATGAATAACAGTAATAATAATAATGGTAATAATCGAATTTTCTCCCGATTACTTTGGTGGATAACTAATATGGCAGTGTACACCTGTATATGTAACGGCGGTGGTCTTGTTTTCTGTTCTGTTGTAGATGTGGGTGGCGGTGAGGCGCGGGAGTATCTCTGATTACCTCCTGCACCCCTTGACACAACACACACAACAACAACAATAAAAACAAAAATTAAACAAAAAAAAAAAAATAAGCAATAACATACAACAATATATATTATCAACATGAAAAGTAAAAAAAAGAAAAAAAGTGCAATTCAGACAAGAAATAGTTGCTATTTACAACAAACAGAGTTTAATCAGAATCCACGCTAATCATTTCTATTTTTGTTTAATCGTACGTCGAATTCTTTCCTCTTTATTTTTATTTCGTACTCCTGACCGAATGAAACTATCGAGCCAACTGTTCCCCCGTGCAAAACGAGAGAATCGCGTTCTCCTTTTATCACGCATCGCCGCCACGTTAGATAGGAATGAATAAGGAGAGGATGGGAGAAAAAAAGAGAAAAGAAAGGACTAGTAACACGCCTGAGCATGCCGTAATCAAACTCTAGTTCCGCTCGTCCCTGCTGCAAAGAAGTTTTACATCAAACTAGTAGTACGAGTCAGTAATAAATCGTACTTACAGACACCATCTCGTTTATACACAAAATTTCAATTTCAATTCGAAAGGAAAGTGTTTCAGGCTTACAATTGTATTTAGAATTGCATTTAAATCATATGATAGTAGCGAGAAAATAAATTCAAACGTTCATAGTATGGAAATTGTCATCGAACACGTGTAATGACTTTCGTACTTCAATTTTCTGAGTCTAGATTAATTTCGATTGTTGTAATAAGCTGAAACTTTTTTGCAAAAGGGGTGTCATCTTCCACCGCTATCACCACCTCTCTACTGACAATTACTAACCACTGTTGTAACCGCGAAGGAAAAAGAAATCTGAGGCGAGACAAGAATAGAGTATAAGGAGCAAGGGAAATGATCTATTTTCTTTTCTGGATAGAGAGAATTGTATCTCCTCGGCCTCCGTATTTTCGACTCGTTACTCTTTGTGTTCCAGGAGCATACACTCCGTTCCCTACAAGGGCTCCAACGGCTACTCGAACGGCTATTCGAACGGCTACTCTAGGTACTAGATGCCGTGTAATTCTATTCCGGACACGATTATTAAAATATCTTAAATCATTCCCGAACGCGCGGTTTTACAATACTTTAGGCTGCTAGTTCCTGTTTCAATTCAGTCGCGAGTCAAGCGAGCTCTCCCTCGGAATTTACACGATCTTCTTTTCATCTACGCATTTCAATCGAGTGAACAGGGTTTTGTAAGGATGTATTGGCTATACAGTCAATCCCAAAAGTTTATGTACCTTAGAAAAACGCATTTTCTATAATTAAAAAGAAATCAGACGTCGGAAGAATAATCCTAATAATAAATAGCTACGTGCTAAAAAGTATGGAAGGAAATATCGAATTAAGTATTGACG